ACACACAGTGCAACACACTACTCCCTTCTGCCTTTCTGTCACCATCACCCCCACACACTATACCACGCATGCAACCCCCCCCCATCACACACACACATACACACAATGCCACACACACTACTCCAGAGGTCGGCAGCCTTTCAGAAGTGGTGTGCCGAGTCTTCATTTAATCACTCTGATTTAAGGTTTCACGTGCCAGTAATACATTTTAATGTTTTTAGAAGGTCTCTTTCTATAAGTCTATAATATATAACTAAACTATTGTTGTATGTAAAGTAAATAAGGTTTTTAAAATGTTTAAGAAGCTTCATTTAAAATTAAATTAAAATGCAGAGCCCCCCGGACCGGTGGCCAGGACCTGGGCAGTGTGAGTGCCACTGAAAATCAGCTTGTGTGCTGTCTTCAGTTGCCTACCCCTGCCTCCCTTCTGCCTCTCTGTCACCCTCACCCCCATACACTATACCACACACGGAACACCTCTCTCTCTCTAGCACACATACACACAATGTCACACACACTACTCTCTGCTGCCTCTCTGTCACCCTCACACACATACACTATACCACACACACAACTCCCCCATCTCTCTCTCACGCACACATGCACACAATGCCACACAAATTATTCTCTTTTGCCTCTCTGTCACCCACACACACTATACCACACAGAGAACACCAACTCTCTCTCTCTCTCTCTCTCTCTCACACACACACACACAATGCCATTCACACTACAATCTTCTGCCTCTCTGTCACTCTCACCCACACACACTATACCACACACGCAACACCCTCTCTCCTCTCTCTCTCACACACACACACACACACACACATAAACACAATGCCACACACATTACTCCCTTCTGCTTCTCTGTCATCCTCACACACACACACACACACTATACCATGCACACAACACCCCTCTCTCTCTCTCTCTCTCTCTCACACACACACACACACACAATGCCACACACACACTATTCTCTTAAGCCTTTGTCACCCTCACCCACATACACTATACCAAACACGCAACACCCCTCTCTCTCTCTCACACACACACACAATGCCCCCCGCACAAGTTCTTTATGCCTCTCTGTCACTCTCACCCACACCAATACCACACACACAAAACCCCTCTCTCACACACACAAACCCACACACATACACACAGTGCCCCACACCCA